TAAGAAATTAGCCATGAAATGCTGGAAAACCTAAAAATTTGGAGGCCCATGTTAGACTAGACTGTTAAATCGTCGCCTTGTTTTGATAGCATAAACAAACCCAACTGCGATTTCTTGCATTTGGCAGCTTTTATCATTTTGTTTGCCCCCTGAGAAACCATGTGACATTGCTTTTTTTTCCCATCAGTTTTTTAGCACGTGCAAAGATGGTGGGTATCGTGAATAAGGTCTATTTGAGCATGCATAACCTGAAAATGTAAATAACACTTGAATTAAAAATAATACTTACTCTCCCCAGTCCTCAGCATCATCACACCAGTCATCACCTACAAATTCACCGGAAGGCTATAATGGTAAGAAAATTCAAAATATGAGAAGGTTACTAACAAACTGAAAACACACATATCTTGGACTGCCTTCATCTTCAATAAGCAATAAAAGGCAAAAGAATTGCCTGACCTCATTGTTTGTTGTTTCCTTGGAACCAAAATTGCTGTCTTTGGCTTGTGATCTCAAAACTTTCCAACTGAAAAATAAAATAAAGGAGTAGAATCAACTGTCTGCATTTTGGGCTTCCTGTGTGAGCAGTACTATTTAGGGTGACATACGTGCAGGCACTCAGTCATCACCTGCATGTGTCATGATTTTAAAGAGCTGCAAATTTGCCAGTTTTTCTTAATATGAACTTAGGTTTCATGTGTTTCAAACCTCAGCTTCACACATGAAGTCTGACATTTGAAATACATGTAGGCCTTGCAACTTAAACAATACCAGAGATAAAGCCACATACTGATGTGTAGTCATGTAACCACTTCGTTGAGTAGCCACATACATGTGTTGCAAGCATGACCATGGTTCTAAGTCGATGCAACTAACTTTCACGTCAAAACATAACTCAGTTTTTATTCCAACATGCACATTTCTTTCATAAAGTTCACCATGATGTGTGCTGAAGCAATCTATGGTGCAATCAGCCTCAATCTTGTTTTACAGTCTAATACTTCCGGTAACTATCTTCCAGTTACAAGTAGAGTTACAAGTAGAGTTTGTATCCAATAACGTATCGGTACATCGCTATGCAAGTGAAGTCCATACATATAATACGAGATATGCTTCAAAAAGTAACTTCTACAAACCACGTTCCAGGACCAATATAGGAAAGCAAACAACAGCGGCTATGGCGACCGAATTGTGGCAACAGCTCCCTACCCATATAAAAGACCTTTCAACTTATAACTTTCCTAAAACATTAAAAGAATACTTGTTGGCCGAACAATTAACTTACTGAAATTATTTTATTTTAATCATATCATCATGTACTATGATGACTGTTTTCTCTTCTTTCTTTTTTTTTTTTGCCATCTATGTGCTTTCTTCTTTTTTTTTATGGTGTGTGTCTTAAGATGTTTTGTATGTCTAGTTATTGTGATGTCCTGTACATTCGACACTACTTTCAAAGAACTAGTTGCTAGCTCGAAAACCTTACGGTTATCTAGCCGCTAGGCATTTCCTTCTATGTAATAATATTTAGTTTAAATTGTAATTGAATATTCTACGTGTTAAGTTACTAATTATTCAATAAGTTTGACAAACCCTGTAATGGAAATGTGAATAAAGTGTTGTTGTTGTTGTTGTTGTTGTTGTTGTACATAGCCATCTACTAAGCCGCGCCACCACATAGACTTTACACTCGTAAAACCATGTCGTGGAGGCATAGTCACATAGCTACATAGCTGTGTGGCCACATTGTGAGTGGCCAGATATTTCACAGTTACTCCAGTTATTCATATTTGATAGCAGTTTCGTTGGTATTGCAATTTAGGAAACACCATGCAGATCACATTAATTGTGATCTGCTGCATGGATTTTTTTCTCCCCGCCATGGGCAGTAAGGGTTACACGTAATAATTAATTACCTAGTAATAATTACCTAGTGTTTTTATTCCAGCAAGATTGATTGGTACAACCAAAGATATACAGCACACGATGGAAGATGGAATCTGACAGCGGGCAGTAAACTTGACAGACCAAATATAACACTCTGTTACACAACCGACACGTGGGATACTGCCATGGCGGTCCAAGCAACCAAATCTGTGGGGCAAACCGATAGTTATATAGTAATTATTTTAGATATTATTTTGAGATCAATTATCAAGAAGACCTAATTTACTTACAGGAGTTCCTCCAATCTTATTTGTGGTCCATCCACAGATCTTATCGTCATTTTCAGACATGATTTCGTCCACTAAACCTAAAAGGATGGCTCCGTCCGCCATCTTGAAAGCAAGTGTTGCAAAGCATCTCGGGGTAGGATAGTCCGTACCCAAGTCTCTCGCGATCACACCTTTGCAGCAGAAAGTTGAGCTTGAATTTACGTAGTCGGTGCCTAGCCAATCATATAAATAATTATCTCTCATTGAAAATCATTAATAAACAATTATTGGATACTTTTTTTTGTGATATCGGGTGTAATCAAGGTCGAGGTAAGTGTTATCAGCCTAGCCGAAGGCCGTGGATAACAACACTTGCCGAGAACTTGATTATTCCGGTTATCACAACAAAAAGTAAGGACAAACACACCATCACAAAGAGCACAGCTTGACATTGCTCTTGGAAATCATGCATTGGGCGCGCAATGTGTCCTTGATTGAGTCTGGCCACATTTTCTTGTTTGGTGACTTGACCGGCCATATGTCCGGGAGAAACGAAAAATATTTAAAGCTTTGTATGTACACATGCATTTTTCATTTATTTCCAACCCGTAAATACCCTTGAGGAAAATTTGCCCAAATAAAAATTTTAAACGTGGGTTGGTTTATAATTACAGTTCAATGGTATTACACTAACCTGCTGTCTTCATATCAGCGCAACACAAAATAACAAAATTAATAATGTGGTCGGCAAAAATCAAAGGCAACATTTACGCCCTGAAACCTTTTAATGCTTCTTGTTGCTTGGTCTTCTGTGACGTAGGTCTCTATTTACAATCCCTGAGTTTTTTACTAACAAAAATATTTTGATAGTATACCGCTACAGAAAAATATTTTTAATCCCTGAAGGAAGGAAGTGACATGCAACCAAAATCACAAGGTATGTTTTAATTTATCAAATTCACAATGTAATAACTGGTTAATACGTACCGCGGCCTATGTTTTATTTACTTCCGCAGCTCCCGCATGGTCTTTTGATAACATGGTCGTCAATGATATGAACGATTAGCAGTGATTTAGAAATATATATATATTTGATACTGATACTTGAACAAGTGGAAATCGTTTAAAAATCAAAAGGATCATTACATCCCAAATAATCCGAAAAGGCCTTTCCCCAAGCTAATACTTTCAACGCCAATCTCACTACAGGCTGAATATGGCGCTAATCAGAAAAAGTGAAAAAAAGTCCAGATCAGAAATCACAATCGTTTCATTTTTATCAGCTGTTTTTTTTTTATGAAAATTAAATGAAAATAAGACTTTCATGGAGAGATAACTTAAAGAATTTGGCTGGAAAACGTTAACGCCAAAACGGTACGAGGCTGGTTAACTTACCATTTGCAATCTGATGCTAACTACTTGCTTAGCGAGACAATCAAAATAATTCATTAAAAAGAAACTGAAAATATGTAAATGTAATAGATATTTTGCACCATTTTTGGAGACTTAATATTCAATGCGACATTCTGAGTTCTTACGATAAATAAAGAGTCATCTTCATATGAAAGAGAAAGGGATAATAATTACTGGAAGTATTAATCGTTCGTTGAATAATTCCTGCTTTTAAGGTGGCTCCGTCATTAATACAGGCGCATTGAGCTATGAGAAACTTGTCGTTCGAATTTTTTCTTTTTTACGCAATGGCTGCGTACCTTTGCAAAGAACGAGAGATATCATTCAGCAATAATATACAATTTTCTGATTTCATTGATGATAAATATTTTTCGGGAAATGAGGGCTTAAAAGGACCCTATACTTTTCAAAGAAGATCGCTTCTAAGAAAAACCTCGCCCAGGGGGGACGAACGACAATGATGTTCATGCCTTCGAACCGAATTATATCACCGTGCAAAATACAATTATCGCGAAAAATTCTTCCCGCGTGTAAATTTACAACTCTTAAGTTTTTGGTAACTCCTTTCTTTAATGGCAAGGGTAGTATTTTTCTTCATTATTATATTTTGCTTTGCAATATACAGATCGGTTGGCAGTCATGGGCCCGGACGAGGTGCCAAAAACTGCTAAGGGATACTTAAACACAGTCGAAAAAAAAGTCTTCGACTTCGTAGTAAGGTTTGGATGAATTTATAGTACTTCTAAAACAATAAAATACCTTTTAAAGAATAGCCTGTGTACAGACGCCTCCCTTCCCTCTCTCCCTGATTTTTCCTTAGGGGAGGGAGCGTCTTTACATAGGCTATTATTTAAAGAATGAAAAATCGATTTTTGTTTTAAGAATTAGCAAACACTGAGAGCAATTTGTTTTTTATTAATATTCTCGGACTGCTGCTCCAACGATTTCTCTGAAATTTATCTGGCATCTATTACATCAATAAAAGCCGATATATTAATAATTTAATATAAAATATCAGCAAAATTTTTTTAGACGCGATTTTTTTTTTTTTTTTTGAATAGTAAGGGTCCTTCTAAGCGCTAATTTTGCAAAACATATTTATGATAAATGAAATCGGAATATTTCATATTATTGCCTAATGACATTTGTTGTCCTTTGCAAACTTTCGCAGCCATAGCTCGGGGCCACCTTAATCCTTATCTCCGAAATACAATCGGCTTTCGTCGGGATTTTCCGAGTAATGCCGAAGATTTAGGCGCGCGGAATAATTTGAATAGACAAACCAACATGGCGACGGTTTCAAAATCTCCCTTGCCTCCGATGCCTCCACGTCCTCAAAGCGTCCCGTTGCTCCGAAAGACCATGTCTCCTGAGCCATCGAACGTCAAGGCTTCACCTATTAGGTCAAAGACACCATTGGTAAGAAAACGTTCTCGCTGTTAGCGCGATTTTAGTTCGCAGCGGTTCCACTTTTGTAGCGAGCGAGCTTTAATATACCCACTGTATTTTGCTCGCAGTGGACATACCACAAATGCGATTACTCTAAAAAGAAAGCTGTTGATTAGTTAAGTTTCTAAAATTCCTTTATTCACCGGGATAAAGGGCTGCTTGTTCATGTGTTCGAAGAAACTTATTCGAGTTTGTTATTATTATAACGATCATCCAACGACTTGATACAATTAAGTTAAATTTTAAGCGTAAAAACATGAATTTAAATAAGCGTGTCTGTCGTTGCACCTGCTTGGAAATTGCATAAGTTAATTTAGTGTAACGCTGTGAAGTTGCAGACGAATCCTGTTGCTAGAAAAGGAAGTCTCCTTTTTCAACCTGATGAACGAATTGGAGAAAGACCAGTGTGGAATGGAAGTAAGAACTTGCGTTACGCGAAATAAACATTCGTTATTTCTGTGTTTGGATAAATTGTCAAAAATAATTCACCGCAGTAAGAGGTTTTTCTTGCTGATTAGTCGATCTTCTGATACTCAAATATGGAAAATATGTGAATTATTGGCACATAATGCAAAATTTACACGTACAGCTAAACGCATGTAGTCTCAGAAAGCTTATTGAAAACATTATTTTCTGATCTGGTAACCACCAAAAGCTGTTTGAATTTAAATATTTGACTGTCTTGCGAAAAGAGTAATCCTTGCCTTTGTTTTGACTCTCTTGATGATCCTAAGCTATGAAACCATATTAAGCCGAAAAAAAAATTAAAAGTGTTGCCTTTAATACTTGGCTCTCAGTAAGGGAAAACATGACTACAAAGTAAGCTTAAATTCAGCAGCTCTAACCATGGCAATTTCTTATCTCTACCATGATACAGGATAGTTGATCCTTTACCCATAATTTGGTCACAATTTACAGCTGTAGGAAGTATCAGGACTCCTTTCTCAAAACATCTCTGAACATCGCAAAATTTAAGATGTCTCATTTTGAATTTTGAGGGTTTGCTTGCGTATTTTTTTTGTAGTAGTTTGTTTTGGTAAACATTTAATTCCTGAGGGGTTTTAAATATCAAAAATTCATTGCTTGACAGTGTATTGAAAATAACTGATAATTTTGGTTAAATTTTTCAACCGACATGGAAAATTAAGTATTGTTGACACATGGATATTTGCTATCTCAGTACCCTGTACCTGAACTCTCTTGTCTGAGCTCATACATGTACTCTTATGGAATCACATGGAAAAGTTGACCTTTTGATCTTTTCAGTGATTATTATTTTATTCTGTCTTAAAGCATTAGCAACAGGGTACAACTCCACGCTGTATATGTACCACTGTACATGTAGTATATAGTACCTAGAGTATAAGGCAAATACACAAGTATCAACCTTTTTTTGGCATATTTTCTATGAAACTTAAGTTTATTTAGTTGACACCCTTATTAAGTTTTTTAGGTATGTATCCATTGACAGAAAGTTGTGAATCCCTGGGCCGAGTTGTTCAAAGCTGGATTAAGATAACCCATGGTTAGTGCGAGATTTGAATTCAGATTTGAAAGCTTAAAAAGCATTTCAGTTTTAATTCGTTTTGTCTACAAGTTGACAATTGAAAGCTCTAAATATAACAGAGAAAATTATCCGCGAAAATGCTTTTGAACATAAGAAAGAGAAACCCGGGTTAAATTTAACTCTGGGTTAAGTGCTAATCGACCTTCGAACAACTGTGCCTTGTTGTACATGTACATATATTAACTGCAACATTTTTTTTTAGAATAAATCTCTTGGAAAGTCATTAACGTTGAAGTCAGGACCATTACCAGGTTCATTCCTGTTTGGAACTCCTTCCTACCCTTCTCCCCTTGATCGCATTCGCCCAACAAAGAAGGACCGAGCTATAGAACTTGGTTTAAGTACTGCACTACAAGATTCTCTGGACCTCAATGCTACTTTCCCAAAAGTCTACAAAGCTAAATCAAAACAGGACGAACATCAAATGGACTTATTCAAGCCAAAACGAAACTTGGATCAGATCTCAAGTAAGATGTGATGTACATATACTGCATTTTAAAAACATTCATTTCCGTCATTACCTACATGTAGGGTTTATTGCACTTACTAATTGGCATGTAGTTACTCTTTGTTTGTTTATTCCCTTAAATTAGCTGTTTGAGAATGTGTGTAAGTTAAGAAGGGTATAATAATTTTATAAAGGTTAATTATGGCTTTAGAGTGTGACCAGTGTAATAGGGCATTCTTGAGCTGA